GGAGCCTCCATTCTGTGGAGGCACAGAGAGACTGAGTGCTTTACCTGCGGGTACACAGCTGATAAGGGCAGATTGGGAGCTGAGCCCAGGCAGGCTGGCGAGGGCTAGGTTTTAGTCACTGCTGTATTGTTTGGCCCTGAGGCCCAGAGAAAGGCAGGACCCTCCTGAGTTTCGAAGCAGGTGAGCAGCCTCTGGCTGGCTTCCTCCCTACCCTGGCCTGGTGCCGTGCGGGCACAGGACACATGTGGGAGCCTGGTGGACACGTGCGGGTCTGGGCAGGGCTGGGTCCCAGGGCTGTGGCTCTTTAGGTGTGAGCTGGAGAAGATGGGGTGAGCAGATGCCTGGTGGTACCTCCTTCTGTCTCTGAGGTCCCTGGAGCCTGCAGAGCACAGCAGTTCTCCTGCCCACTTCTGGGATGGCTGAGGGGAAGGGACAGCCTCCCTCCTGCTGGCCCGGCCCTTCTGAAGGACAGGGAGCCTGCTTACTGGTTTAGGCTGGCGCAAGTCCTTATGCCTGGTGGGCTCCGCAGGGTGGAAGCCTGAGTCACCAGCCCTTTACACCCCGGATGGAAGAGGGATGTATGAGGGACTGGCGGCCTCTCTCCAGGCAGCCTGGAGGTGCAGGAGGGGCCTGGGAGCCTGGGGTGTTCCCTTATCGCTTGGGTGACTTTACTGAAAGTTCTTTTGAAGTGGTCTCTGTGACCCAGTGGGGCTGAGTCACAGAGTAAACAGATTAGCAGGGCTGGGCTCTTGCGAAGGACACAGACAATGCCTGTGGCTGGGTCAGTCCCCGGGTCCAGGTCCCCGGGCCAGCCGGCTCCCCAAGGCTCCCCCACCAGCCTCATTTGCCTCCCAGCTGGTTACCCCTCCTGGCATCCTGTGGCCTCTGTGTGGTGGGCCCATCTCAGTGGGTCTGAAGCTGGCTTTTTCTGAGATTGTTCCTCTTTCCTCCACTTTCCTGGGGTCCTCCTAGGGGCCTTCCACACTGGCCTGCACTTGGGCAGCGGGCATATGGGGCTGGTGTTTATCACAGAGTCAGAGTCCCTGCAGCTTGACCCCTCTGTGAGATGGACTTGTCCCTCCTCCCAGGGGCTCGGACAGCAGCGTTGGGCCCCTTGGACTTCAGGCAGGCGAGGTGTGTGCTCGGCCGAGGTGGGTCTCCTGCTGGCCTCTGGATTTGATTGTGAAACCCAGACTTGGATGATGCCGGACACCCACATCTCCTGAAAGGTCATCTCGTGACTGGGGGAGGTGATTCTTCTTGCCTTTTCTGCAAAGTCCTCTTCACACAGGCTTTATGACAACAATAGCGGCAGAGACAAAGCATGACCGAGACAATGTCGTCTTCGGGCCCTTTTTCCCGCCTTAATGACGTCCAGGGCTCTGGGAACATTGTAAAAGCTGGGCCCGGGCCAGCCTTAATCACTACCCCCCACCAGCTCCAGGGAACCCTGCCAGAGACCGTGGCTGGGGGCAGGGTGATGCCCAGAGATGCAGATAAAGATGTCACACTGCCCCGGATGGGCCCCAGAGCCCAGTTGGGACTTAGGGGACAGGAAAGAGGAACAGAATGTATTGGTTGGCCTGTGGACTCCCCCAGCGAGGGAGGGAGGTGGGTGGAGAGAAAGAAGGGCGCCTGCCAAGTTTAATTAACAGTGGAGACTTGCTACGGGGGAGGAGAGAGACGGTTTGAAGCGGAGGGGTGGTTTACTGGAAGATGGGCCGTGCTGGTGCCAGTAATGAGAACCAAGCAGACGTCCTGTCCCTGCGGTGGTGTCTGCCAGAGCACCGCTTGCCAGCGTCGCAGGCAGGGGTCCGCACAGGGATCTCTGGAGGTGTTAGTGGGAGTTTTACTGGTACTTGCTTTCCCAACTAGGCACCTTTCGAAAACAGTCCACCGGCATACCAGCCAGCTAGGCTTCCTTGCCCCCATAGCGAGAAGAAACTGTGTTTTTCTTTTTTAAAGATGATGATGCTCAAGTTTAGAAAATAGACGTGATGTTGGATCCTGTTTCTTGAAGGTGTCAGTGGGTCGCCTGAATCTCATTGGCTTAACAGGTGCGATGCGGGAAGAGAGATGATTTGGAATGCATCTTGTTTCATTGAGGCAAAAACACAGAGGCGTTAAAGGCAGAGCATAACTGATAGCATGGGTTGGACTTGAAATCCAGGAGGTGGAAGGAACAAGGCTCATTCATGTTTTAGAAGGATCCCAGCCGAATGGGGTACTCGGGTTCCCCTCCCTGCAGGTGATGCAGATTGCCCCGTGCCTCCCCTCCCTGGCCCTGTCATCCGAGACAGCAGTGGCTGAGTAGATGATGGGAGCTGCAGTGGCTCCCAGCTCTGCTGCGGGGCCGTGGAGAACGCAGTGCGATCCCTCTGACAGTTGTGTAGGGCGACACTCCCTGACCTACCCTGGTCCACCTCTTCAGTCCATGCCGAACTGTTTTGTGCTCAGGGATTCACAGGAAATTCTATTCAGGGGCCACTGTGTTGATTGCTGCTTTTCCCAAAGTCACTTTTTTCTTTTTGTTTCTCTTCCCCCTTTCTCTCCTCGTTAGCTTGTCTGGCTCCCTGCCATGCATTTGTTTATTTACTGTTTTGGTTTTTTGAGACAGGCCCGCTGTGTAGTTCAGGCTGCCCTTGAATTCACAATAATCCTCCTGCCTCAGCCTCCTGAGTATTAGGATTCCAAGCGTGTACTACTGTGCCCTGCCCTGCCATTCCTTTATACTGTGGCTGTTTGTTTCTCCACCCACCACCCAATGCCTCTCCTACCCGCTGGGGGTCTCTCCTGTCCCCTGGAGGTCTCCTCCCTCAGCCTTAGAGCCTGCAGGCCCAGGAGTTGCCCTCTCCCTCCCCTCCCTGTTAACCCAGCTCCCCTCTTTCCCTTCTGAGCGTGTGTAGGGTCTGGCCCCCTTCTGCCTCTGGAGCCTGTGCTCTCATTAGTTCTTGGCAAACTCTCTGACACCAGAGCCCCAAGGCTTGTTCAGAGCCTTTACTGCAGAAATCCCACCTCCAGCCCACCCGCTCTACCCACTCCACAGTTCTTTTGGTTCCAGAAGGAAGACATTGTACTCCTCTCCTTGTCTTGTTTCCTGTGACGACCGGCCATCTCGCGTGCAGAGCTTTCCGGGACTCCCAGTCTAGCCTCTGCTCAGTGTGCCCTCTCATTTCCTTTTGTCTGAGCTGCAGTTTGGCGAGCACAGCGCATGGTTTCCATTCATCAGCTGGAAATGGGATTGCTGACGTGAACGCTGGGGCCGATCTCTGCTGCACACCGGCAGGGAGACAGCACAGCCGGCTGCAGCCGCTGCTGTGTGCAACTCAGGCGCTGGTGCATGGGCAGAGCTGGCTCAGAAGCCACGCTGCTTTTCCTGGTGCCGGGCAGGTTACATCTGGTTGTGAAAATATTTGGACAGAAACCAAACCATGATGATTGTGTTCCAGTACCAGGAACTAATGGTATTAAGCGTAGACCTCGCCCCCGAAATGTGCTACTCGCTGGTTTTAGTGATGGTTTTTAAAGTAACTTTTCTTTCTTTTTTTTCCCCTTCCTTTTTGCCTGTTTTCTTTCCTTCTGTGCTTCCTTTTTATTTTTGGTCCTGGAAATTGGACTGAGGGCCTCATGTGTGCTAAGCAGGTTCTTTACCTGAGTGACACTTCAGCCCCCAAGTATGTTTTACTAAGAGGGAAGACACTGACTTAATTACTAAGGACTGAGCATGAATGCAGTCAGGAAAAAGACCAGAAGCATCAAGAAAAGAATAGGTAGTGGGTTGCTGTTTCGTATATGCTTTGTTAGCTTCTCACCACAGTGGCAGAAGAAATACCTGAGGATGACAGCATAAATGAGGACAGTTTTGTTTTGGCTCAGGGTTTCAGAGGTTTCAGTCTGTGGTTAGCTGGCTTCATTGCTTTTAGGCCTGTGACAGGGCAAGTCACAGGTGGGAGAGGAAGGCTGCCCACCTCATGGCAGGCAGGAAGCAGAGAGAAGAAAACCAGTGAGGAAGGGCTTAGGGATCGGATTTAGTCCCCAAGATCACATCCCTGTGATCCACTCCCTTCAGCTAGGTCCCACTTCCTGTTTCCAACACCTACCACCAATGATTATGATCAATCAAGTTAGAACTCTCTTGACTCAATAACTTCTCCAAAGTCCATCAGCAGCCTAGCTTTCAATACTGTAGGCCTTTTGGGGGAACCTACTGGATCCCAACTGTAACATACACCCATCTGCTCTACATGGGAGCCAGAGAACTATGCAGATAAAACTATGGAAATGCCCATACCCATTTTACCTGGGGCACCTGCTCCCTGCCATGGCTTTCCCCACGTGTCCCTACAAGACTGTAGCAGGCTGACTCCCAAGTTTTTCTGCCCATCAGTCAGTTTCGAGCAGGTGAGGGCCAGGGATTTAGCTTAGTGGTGCTGCTGCCTGCCTCAAGAACGCAAGGTCCCAAGTTCGATCGCCTGTACAAAAAAAAAAAAAAAAA